CATTGTTACCAAATACAATATACTGTATTCACCTTTCTTTTTCAACTGCAGAGAACCACAATTTAGAATATTAGCACTCTCGTGTACACACACACACACACACACACACACACACACACACACACACAGGCTGTGGGGCAATGGCACAGGGTGAAACAACACAGTTACTTGCAAGACTGGGTTAACTTAACCAAGCGGATGGATGTTCACACAGAGCGGGAGACACCACCCCACTTTATTTTTTATTGGTATTATGACTAGTTTAGACTACAAGATCAAAGCTGTTAGTAGTTTGTCCAGGGACAGGGAGAATTAAACAGAACCAGCGGGGAGCTCTCCCGAGCTGCACTTGGAGTAGGTACACTGCAGGCATTTCTGGAGTCAATGTGGCTATGGAGTCAGAATAAGGCCTATGTGTCACAGTGGCCAGCTGCACAGGTGTAAAAGGGACCCCAAGGGTGCAAACACCCTGGCCTCACGATGATCCTTCCTCCAGAAGTAAAAGGCAAGGAGAAGGATAAGGTTTTCATTCCACGAACTCACCTGGGCCTTCATTCTAATCACTTTACAAATCATCTTTACTAAAACAAAAAAAGGGGGGGGGGTAGGGGCACTCAGAGTTATGAGGCGATCTGGGGATAACTGCTGATACATCACTTATTGACTATCTTGCTACCGTTTACAAACTCGCTCAAGGCAAAACCCAGAACAAAATGACAACATCCACCGCTCACAATGAAGGGTGGCCCTGGAGAGCACTGAAGCCTTCAGTGACGGTTGTCAGGAGGATGGGGACACAGAGCTGATGCTGGATGATCTCCTCCATGTGGACATCTGTCCGAGGGAGAACCCTCCCTTCCTGTCCTCTTTTGTTTTTCTCCTTTATCTTCTTGATTTTCCTTTTGAAAATTCACACCGTTCCTCTCATTTCGTACGAAATGGGGAAGGAAAAAAAAATAACCGTACTACAGGCAAAGAGAGTTCTATGCCACCTTGCTACAGAGAAGACTACCTGTATGAAGAGAGAACATGTGGCAGTTCTAAGAGGGAAGAAATGCCCAAGATTATGCTCACAAGACCTCTGGGATGTTGGGATGTTCCAGGGCTTCCGCGCGAGAGAGAGGGGGAGAGAGAGAGAGAGAGAGAGAGAGCGCTATCGAACACATACATGATTCACACATCCCAGGTACGTTCTGGACACCAGCAGGTGAACCACCTCTTAGGCTGGCCTATGGCAACGGGCAACATGAAACCTCCTCCATCCATCCCAGTGTTCCCTGACACCAGCAAAACCTAAGTGGGCCTCAAGTCTGTTTTATAAAAGTCTGGATGCTTGAAGGCTCACTCTCACAATACTCCCTGGTCATCCTAACAGGAGGGTCATTGTCAAGTTGATTCTGGTTGAGAATTTTTTTTTTTAAGCACAGGGCAAGGTCTTCTAAAATTTCACATTTTTCTTCAGAAAAATGTATGTGCATGATAAAAATATGACCTGCTCTTACATAAATTTGTTTCTGGTATTTTCAGAAAATGCTTGTTTTAAAACAAACATGACAAGTAAGCAAGGGTCATATTTTTTAAGCAAGGTACAATGGTCATTTTGCTTAAAAGGACCCTGGCCTTGGCTCACCTGGTTTCATGTCTCTGAGCCCAGCACAAATGAAACTGCACATTGAAGAAAAAAGGCAAACTCCAGTCCAGGTTTCTCTTCAGCATGTAAAAAAACATCTCTCTCCCCACCCCCCTTCTCTCTCTCTGTCCCTCTCTCTCAGAGATTAAGCTAATTCCTATTTAAAAACATCCCAAACTACAGAAATACATTATTTCAGAGATTGATTCTTGGTGCCAGACTGGGCCTTCCGGTGACCAAGGGTTCATCTGGCCTAGATATTCTGGCGGCTGTGTGCACCTGTGTATGAAGCCTGCAAGTGCTCTCAGCTCTAGGCCCTTTTGTGGTTGTTATTCTACCCTAGACCATTAAAAGGGCTCTAATTCCTATGACATGATTATCCAGGTACCAAAGCCCATTTGTCACCTGCAGCAGAAAATTGAGTTAATGCACAACTAAAGGCAGCCAGGACTGTGTAATATCAACTTGATTACATCAAACCAGCTCCAAACCTAATTCTGCTAGATGACACTGCGTTGAGTCTGTCATCCCCAATCATTAAAGCTGTCAGGAATCCATCAGGTTTACAGCTAATTAGGTGAGCACTAACGAAGCTGGCAAAACAACTTTTCTTTTTTTATGGCTGAGCGGACCTTTCAGTTTGGAGGGGAAAAAAAAAATTCTCGAGTATTCTCAAGGTTGCAGGGTGGGGAAGGAGACTGGATTTCCAGTTACCAATCAGCAGACATCTTTCTTTTTCCCACTCTCTTTCTATCAGTACAAAGCAATCAATTTGTCATCACTCTCCGTATGCCACAAAAGCAGGCATGAACCTTATAACTTACAGCTGTGAGAACTAAAAGAGAGAGAGAGAGAGAGAGAGAGAGAGAGAGAGAGAGAGAGAGAGAGAAATGAGAAGTTTCTCATCCATCTAAATTTAAAAAGGAAAAAGGAAAAGAAAGAACCTTCAGACAACTCACTCACTTATTGACCTGGGCATACTTACCGCCAGCCTAAATGTGAAAAGGTCTCTCTCTCTCTCCTCATCTTAAATAAGTAGTCCTTCTGTTATTTTCCATCCCCTCCCTGACTTCTCCATTAGGCAAAGGCATTCTGATATAGTAAATCCAAAACCAGGGTATGGGGAAGAAAGAAAGCACTCATGTTGCTAACTTCTGATTGACCATTAGCTACTGATGAATGTGCATGTCAGGAGAGAGACAATTAAATCAAATATGAAACAAAGTCGTTTTGACGGGTCATTTTGATAGAGCAAAACCATCCTTCCAGCTCCCATCAGTTCTGCAGTCAAGTTTTTAAAGAATGAATTTTTCTTAAGTGACCTGAGATTTCCAGGCTGGGTTTTGAAGAGATGCAAAAAGGTTAGTGAACAGGCTGCTTTTTAAAAAATAATAACAATTATAATAAACAAAAATAAAACCAACAATACACTTCCTCCTTCTCCAATATTTTTAGACAAAAGTTAGAAGAGTCTCAGATGGGCATGGTGGGTACAGAAAAGATGAACTGAAGACAGTTCTAACCCAGATGTAAAAATGTGATCACATATGGTTCGTTTGAGGCACACAGATACCTTCAAAACACGTATCCAAAAAGGAAAGGAAAAATTGCACAGACTGGAAGAAACCCAAGATATTCCTACTTCCCAACTTTGTGGAGTCCTCTGAAGTTTCAGAGTTTATTTTGGGGTAGATGAGCTTGTTCATTGCTTGAACTTGGAATTTAAAGAAGGTGGAACTAGCTAGAAGCATCAACCTGGAGTTAACCACATGCTCCCTGCAAGTACAATGGGGATTTTCAAACTTTCTACATTTAGGTAACACTCAGGACAGAAAGTAGAACCTGCATTCTATGCACCAAACACCATCTATCCTCTGCTAAGCTTTTCTTAACACCCTGACAGACAAGCACATTTCTGGGGGGGAAGAAAGAACAAGGTTGGTTCCCTTTCTGCATCCCTGTGTGAGGAGAAGGGAGGCCAAGGTGCTCACAGTGTGGGAGCTCCCCTGGCAGTGCCCAGTTGGCCTGATGGAAATCACCATCACTATCACCAACGTGGGACGCCAGCGCTCAGGGCGCCAGTGCCCTGACCTTTCTCACTGCCTTTCCCTCTTCCAGCAAAAGCAGAGAGAATGGAAAGGAAAGAGGAAAAAAAGGAAAGAACCTCTAGGTAACCCGCCCCTTCAGACAACATCTGAACTCCCTGCACATCTAAGTGTTACTTGTATCAGAATACATCACGTCCATATGTGGTCTTCTCTCTCAGCACTCCGTCCCAAATCCCCCCGAAGTTGCACTGACAGGGCCCTCCTGACGTCACAGAGCTTGGCCTCACTATTCCAAGTGATTTATTGATGTTTATTGGGAATGAATAGATCAAAGGCAAACAGCATGACAGGCGATCAATCAGTCATCAAATCAACAGTGGCAATGGGCCAGAAACCCTTCTTCCAGGCAACATGCCCCCAAACCAGCATTATTGCAAAATAATGTTATGTGTGTGGGTTTGGTTTTGTTTTCAATGATGCTTTTTCCAGAAAAGGAAAAAAAAAAATCAGCTTAGTCTTAACAGGAGTTGACACTCCTGGCCAAAAAAAAAAAAAAAAAAGTGGGGGGGAGGGCGGTAGAGGAGGAAGAGGGGTAGTCAGAAATGTCCCAGAACTAAGTGCTCAGGAGTAAGAAGGAAAGGCAGTGGGTGGGGTAAGTAGACACAAACGGAAGGAGGACATGCCAGCATCCAACACCGACTTGACAGTCATCTGACAATACCCAGACCCTGTGCGCTCTGGTATCCACTGTGCCCGGTTTGGGCCCAATAAAATGAAGGATCAGTCGAATTATCAGGAAGGCAGCCAAAGGGACCCACCGGGTAGCTCTCTCACTGCCCGTCTCTCTTTGGACAGTCCCCCACAGTCGGCCCGCCTCGAGGAAGACACAGATGTCCCAGAGAACTCAGGTGACCCCTGCCGCCCCCCTCAGAAAGGAAAGACACAGCTCCATCCCATCCATCTGCAGTTCGCGCGGGGTGGGGGAGGCGGGGACCCCCAGCCAGCTCCGGCTCACACATTGCCCGGAGCGCGATTCCCCCAAAGTGGGATGCAGAGCGGGAAGAGGGCAGAGCGCGCCGGGGCGTCCGGGGGGCACCAGGCACCCGCGGCCGGCGCGCGCGCACCCAGAAGAGCAGAGCGCGGAGAGCGAGCCGGGCACCCGGAGTTACTCCGGCGCTGCGCGGGCAGAGGGACCCGGACGAGGAGCTGGGGATGGGGCGGGATGGGGGTTGGGGGTGGGGGGGGACGCCAGCGGCCAGAGGCGCGGGGCGCGGAGAGGAAGAGGAGCAGCGGAGGAGGAGGGAAGGGGAAGCGGCTCGTACCTGCTGCGCGCCGGGGCGCCTGCTGCTTCCTCCTCGGCATGATGCTTCTCCGGCGACTGCCACTGCCGCCGCCGCCGCCGCCGCTGCTGCCGGGCTGAGAGCAGGGAGGGAGGGGCGGCGGGCCCGCGGGGGGGGCGAGGCGGGCCTGCTCTCAGCCTCCCCCCCGGAGAGCGGCCGCCCGCAAGATGCTGCTGCGCCCCAGCTCTCCGCGTCCCCCCCGCGCCGCGCTCCGCCGCGATCCCCGAACGTGCGGAGGGAAGAAGGAGGGCGGGCGGGCGAGGGAGGCGCGGGGAGGGAGGAGCGCGGGGGGAGGAGGAGGAGGAGGCAGAGAGGAGGTGGAGGAGGAGGAGGAGGAGGAGGACCGCGCTGCCGGCGGAATGGGAAGTTTGACAAATCGCTCCAGAGGCCGGAGGAGGAGGGGGCGGGGAGGAGCGGCGGCCCTGCCCCCCCCCGCCCCGTCCCCAGACGAGGTGCGCGGGGTTCGGGGCTGGGGGGCGGGGAGAGAGTGGGGGGTGGAGAAGGCGGGCAGAGGGGTGGGAGGAGACGCGCGGGAGCGGCCCCGGCCGGTCCTGCCCCGGCCTCCGCCCCCGGGCAGGGGGTCACGGCATCCGGGGGGTGGGGGGGGCGCGCAGCCGCCGCCGCCGCGGCCCCGGGGCTCAGCGGTCCAGTCTTCTGCCCGCGGCGCGGCTGGAGCGGCGGCGTCGGCAACAGGCAAGCTTAAAGGAAAAGGAGATGATCGCGTCACTCGCCTGCCCGCGGGGGCGCCGCGCCCCCAACCCCCGGGCCCCGGGGCCTGCCTAGGACCCCCGCCCAGTCCACCGATCGGGTGCCGCCCCTCCGCCTCCGCCCGGTGCGCGCACTCAGGGGCGCGGCGCCGGCCCAGCCGAGCCTGTCCCGGAGCGCCCGCTGCCCCCGCCCACCCCTCTTCCCCACCCCGCCTCGCCCCCTGGCCGCCCCTCCGCCGCCCCGCCCGGCCCGCACTCCTCTCCACCCGCGGTGTCCAAAGCCCCAGAGTGGTGCCCCAGTCTGGGATCGCGCCCCCCAAGGATGCCAGGGCCCTCAGGCGCCCTCGAGGGAGGAGGCAGGCGCGGGCCGGAGTTGGGTGGGGGCCGCCCTCAGACCCGCGCCTCCTTTGGGGCTCCTCCCCTGGGACCCACCGTTGCTACTTCCCCCTATTTTTTTCCTCGGGCAAACTTTCCTGGGCGCGTCTCGGGGGGTCACTATGGGAGGGGGTGCCTCCAAGTTTCCTCTCCCGACTTTAGGATGATAGTGGTCCCTTCATCTGGCCTCTCGCCCCCTTGGGCGCCAGTGCCGCCTTCCCCTCCACCCCCACCCACGGCGCCGGCGGATCCCAGGGCGGGACGGGGGCGGGAGAAGAAACTCGGGCTCCTGTGCCCATCCCCCGCCCCACGGCGCCCCTGAGAAGGGGCCACCCAGTCGTGCCCGGCCTGTGGGCAGTTGTGGATGAAGGGAATTGATTATTGATTGGGTGATTGGGGTCGCTGGGGCGCCGGCTGGCCCGGGCCGCGGGGGAGGAGGAGCTGGCATAGCTGCGTTGGCGGCAGGGCCACGCGGGCTCACTCACCGGCGGCGGCGAGGGCGCGGGTGGGCCGGAGCTCATGCGGGCGACCCTCGGGCGGCGGCGGAGCGGGAGCTGGAGCCCGAGCGGCGCGGGCGGCGGCGCATCGATGCGCTGCGGGCTCGATTGCGTCTCCCTGGGCCAGCTCTCGGGCCGGGAATGGGGCGGCCGCGGCGGGGCCGGCTCCGGGCGCTGCCTGGCGGCGGGGGGCGCGGGGGCGGCCTCCAGGCCTACTGTCCCCGAGGCGACATTGCGTCTGGGCCCGCCAGCCGGGGCCCTGGGCTCCCGCGGGCCCGGAGGCCACAGTCCTGGCGAGGGCCGGCGCCCCGCGCCCTGGGACTGATTGCCTGAGCGCTCCGGGAGCTGCAATCCTTGGCCCTTCTTTCTTTTTTTATTTTTTCCCTTATGTTTCTGTTTTCAATCTTCTCTCTCTTCTTCAACCCTGTTTCTTTATTTTTATATTTCCTTGCGATTGTTTTTGCAAGTTTGTTTTAAAAGTTCACAGCATGCTCTCTTTTCTTTTAGACCTGGAGAGCGAGATCTCACCCTGACGGTAAGATCAAAAGTCTCTGTTCGCCCCCAGCCCGCGGGCTTGGGCTCGGTCCAGACGCCTCCCCGACTGCTGATGGGCCACCTCCGTTCTCCCCGGCTATAAAGCCGCCTCCGGCGCCTTGGCGCGCGCTGAAGCGCTCGGAGTTGCGGGGCGCGGACCCCGGGCGGGGCCGGGGCCAGGAGCCGTGGAGGCGGGTTGTGGCAGGGCCCCAGGGTGGGCTGGCTATGTGTGGCGTACTCGTGGGGTGGGGACACCGCGCGTGCCGGGTGCCTGCGGCAGGATCGGCGGCCCCCTCCAAGCCCGGCAGACGCGGCTGTGGCGTGTGAACCGCTTCTTGCGAGCGAGGGAATGGTGAGTCGGCAGGCGCTGCCGGCGGCCTCAAGGTTCTGGTAGTCGTGCTGGGCGTCCCTGACCTGGAGGAAGGTGGGCGCCGTGCGAGATCAACTCCAGCCGGCCCCCAGGCTCACCTGCCTGGCATCGACCTCCCGCTGCGGTATGCGCACAGCGCTGGGCGCCATGCACCCCAGGGCAGGGAGTTGGCCATGACGGTGTTTCGCTCTTCCTTTCCTTGCCCTCGCTGCTCTCCCAACCTTGGTTCCCTCCGTCCCCTCCCCGTGCAGGCCGCGGCCTGAGCTCGATCTCCGTGTCGCCCGCTGCCACCCGCCGCTCACCGGTGCCTAGCCCTCCCCTGCCCAGGCGCTGCGCGCTGTGCGATCCGCCCTAACATCTGTCCGTCCAACCATTGGCGCATTCATCAGTGTCAGTGGGCTGCACATTGCTGCGACAGCTCGTCACGCACAACGCGGGCTATGCGGAGTGCACACCGCGTCCGCACTGCCTGGCCGGGCGGGACATGCAAAACAGGAATGTGGCCCAGGCTTGGCACAGCCTGGATCACTCACTGGTCTCCACTGTGTTCTTTTAACTACATGCACTGGTCCCTCTTAATCTGGGGACCCCAACACATTAGTAGTTTTTCAGGTCCTTTTAAGGGAATGGGACCTACGAAAAGGAGCTGAGTTGATCCCCTCCTTATATTCCACTGTGTTCTCGGCCCTTTTTCTGTGGGCTGGGTGTGGCTGGGAGAAAAGGAAACAGTGCTTCCCAAATTAGCACCAACCACCAGGTAGACCCGGAAGCTACCTGATTGCAGGAGCTTAAGTCTATTTCACCTGGGCAGCTGCTAGTTTGTCCAAGTCCGTCAGGTTTGGGTCAGAACATCTCACTATAAAACTTTACCTGGCCCCGCCTAGCTGCTTCTGCACAAAGGCCTGACCCCGAGAAGCTGCAGAGGGGAAGAAAACTAGAGTCTCCAGGAAAACTAAGGGTTTGATTTCGGGAGATATAGTGTCTGTAATCCACACGTTATTTTCACAAGGGGATAGGACAGAGCCATCCATGTCCTTTGAGAAACCAGAGTTTTGCAGATAGTTCCTGGCGCCCTTTCTTCCAGAGTGCTGACTGACCTTGGCTGTGGGCCACCTATTCTCCAGTTATTACCACTGGATGTCCAGAGGGTGAACATCCCTGATCAGTCTGACTCACCAAAGGGCCTTTCATGTCCTCCATGTAAGAACTTTAGGGGAAGGGTGTAACTGGACTTAACTCTTTGGATATCTGTGTGAGCTCTGTAGCTGGCATTTCACCTGACTTTACTGTTCTTGCAAATATTTCTGTCTGGGTGCCTGCTGAGTTCTGGTCCTCAGAATCCACTGTACATTCGGGGTGAAAGCCTTAGCGGCTATTGACAGCTTGGTTTGTGAGGTGGAAGGGAAAAGGAGCCGCTTTCAGGAGGAGGAGGCCAGAGACCGCTTGCAAAGAAAGGTGCTGGCAGGAACTCTTCCTACAGGAAAGGGAGAGTACCCATGGCCCTGGGATACAGGCTCTGTATACTATGTACAGTGGGCCAGCTGTTTTTACACTAGTCTCTGGAAAGCCCCAGACAGTTGGAAGAGACAGAATTCTCCTAAACACTGTGCAGAATTCTTTTTACTTCACTCTTCAAAGAGTCCTTGGAAAGCAACCATGGGGTTTGGCCCATGTAAGCACCTGGTGACTTCTTGAGCTATGCTGGATAGAAACATCTAAGCCAAATGCATCCACCTCTGGGAGGTGCCATGCTTCCTGGAATAAATTTTTAAACCCCTAAAAAGTAGAAGGAGAAAGATGGGTAATGAAAGAAGCCTCAGAAACACCCCATGGCAAAGCCCATAGGAGAAGCTGAAGGCTGACATTGTTGGAACTGGGTGGTTACATTATAAGCCCAAAACATTTCCTGGGGCCACAAACTCCTGACCCCCAAGAGTGCATCTCAGGCCCAGTGGACACCCAGTGGACCTCCATGGTCAAGATTCTGCATAGATCCTTCCAGTGGGGTTTCTCTAAGTCAGGGGTTAGAAATCCGACTGCACATTTGGGAACTCAAGGAGCTGTGAACCCCATTCCCAGAGCCTCTTTGCATGGGTCTCCCCACCTGGACAGCAGGAGCATTCTTGATCTTGGCTAACCAAAGCCCCATCTGGAGGGGTGGGAACAGGTGCAGTGGAGGGGTTGGGGGACCTGGCCAGCAACACACAGTACAGGAGACACAAATCCAAGCTTGTCCACCACCGGGAGGCAGCCGAGTTCGTGTGCAAGGTGGCAATTGAGGGCAGTAGGTGACAGCCCATCTGGCCTGTTGATGTGTGTCCTCATTGGGGTGGCCACCTGGGGGGAAAGAAAGGGAAAAGAAGGCATCAATGTCCCTGCCACTCCAGAAGGAGGAGCCAAGGTAGGCGTCACCTAGGGCCTAAATTGTGACCTTGGAGAGGTGTTCTTGGTGCCACCAGGGAGGCAGAGACCACCTGGAAGGACAAGGCAGACTGATTTAGAAGTTCAGGAGCCTGCACCTGTTTTCAAGGTATGAAACATCTGGCCATGGTGTGGGGCTCTGGAGAGCCCAGGGCCAGCCACAGTAAGGGAGCTAGCCGGTACCAGGCGCCCTCCAGACTGCGGTTGTCTGGAACAGAGTGATGGCTGGGTCCTGTCTTCTTTACCCCTCCGCACACCGGCTACTTGCACACCTCCACTAGGAACTGGGCCCCACCCAGGACTCAACCCTGGGGCCAGGCCCTCTCCAGGCTGTAAACTGTTTGCTAAAAGGGCATTTGCACAGCGGCGAAGTTTGTTTCTGTTTTTCCGGTGGCTTTGTTTTAAAGAACCAGATGTTTTGTCTGTAAGTTCTCCCAAGAA